TTTTCACTGTCTCCGGGTTGTGTTTGTTGACTGAATTGTAAATGATAAGATAACCCTAAAACACCCTTACATAATACATTACTGAATGATTAAATATTTGTCAACAATAATTATTGAATTTTTAAAAGAAATTGTCTCGTGTAAGACTACTATCTACGTGATGTCATCAGCATCGAGTAATTCATTTCTTCGAATCGAAGCGAAAGTCAACGACAAGACAACCCAATTTCTAATCTCTCTATTTCCCTTCTATTTTCCCTATTGTTCAGTTCCTGGTACCGAGTTATTACAGCAGTTAGAACATGAACAAAATGACAAGATGTGGAACAAGTTCCGTGAAACAATCTACTGGGACGAGACGTACCATTGCAGGAATTAACCAATGAAACTCGATTAACTCCTTTTACATTGAAACTATGCGTGTCTACATCAGACAAGAAATATTTGAGAAAAATTGGAAAATGATAACCAGTTGTATGTCATTGCCACAATGTTTTTCAGACTATCGCAACTTTTGGATTATAATCTGCAGCAATGAGGTGGTTAATAATCCCAAGCCGCCTTTCCCACATGATTCAGATCAAAACTTGAGACACGGTGAATTTCATTATAAACGAGAGAATGCCGTCGAATCTGTATAATTAACGCGATTAATTGGCAAAGCCGAATCGGTCGGCGCGTAAACGCATCCTGTGTACATAATCATCTGCGATAAAAGATCGCTAAAGACATAAGAAGGAGAGAAGTCGAGCAATCTGTACGAAGGACGCGCACGATAATTTTATCGATGCACAACCTTATCGACTCGCAAGGTCTCTGTACAGGTGAATTCACTCTGATTACAGATTCAGCCAGGCTGAAAATTACGCGGTACACGCTGAAGAAGGGAGAGAGAAAGAGATTGATAATACAACGCCGCGTAATTTCACCTATAAGATCAAATTACAGTCGGCGCCGAATTAAAGACCGTTCATTTTCCACGAGAAAGGTTATCCCCTCTTTGTCTGTTGCGTTGAAACGTAAGCTTGGAAGATTTGGATGAAGCGTCTTCTCGCGAACCTGCTCGCCACGTTTTTGATCTTAACTTGTGAAGAAAGCAGTCGCTACGAAGCAGGGGGTCAGACTGATCCAACTTACCGATTTACCTCGATTCGCGTCGTGTCTTTAAAGCAACGGCCTCAACGAGCACCGTTTAACAGGAAATTGCGGTCCGAAGGGCGAGACCTTGCCAGATGTGGAATTAAGTGACTCCGAATGGGCTGTGTTCAATGCCACTGTTATGGTGGCTTTATTATTGAGGAATGAGGGAAATTTTGAAGATTTTTTCGAGAAATGATATAATAATCATTATTATAATGTTTAACCCTTGAAGGGCAAAGATCTAGTACAAGTGGCCACCACCTCTTTCCTTTAGAGACTACCCTAAGAAAAATATGGCTAATAGAAGATTAACTGCAATGGCATATTTTTTTCCAGGAATACCATATTGACTGCTAATTTCATTAACAAGCTAATGACTGTTAAACCGATGCGCGAAGCAATTTGGGGCAGGGAGCGGACATTAAAAGGCCATCACGCTGGGTCCAGGAAGGAGGCTTGGCTACGAATCCGAACAGTACTAATGCCTTCCACCTTCCTCCGCAGCATCCTTTCACGAATAGACGTTTTTTGCATAACTTTGCCGGTACGATCATTCCCCTCTCGTCGCCGCCATCAGCACCCTCTCCCCACCCATCAGCTCGAGACTTCCCGTCTTGCCGTCACCCTTCTACCTGTACCACCGACTTTCCTTCTTTTCTCCACCGACACCTCTTCATCTCTCTTCAACAACAGCATCCAGGGCTGTACACGAGGCTGCGGCTAAGAGCAGAGCGACGTCGCCGACGCCACGCACCCCGACGTCGCCCTGACGCGCTCCACTGACGCTGCGGAGCGGAGATTAATGGCTTCGGACTCTGAAATCCTGGAAAATAAATAGCGGGGGCGCCGGTGGCGAGAGCGAGAGTCCTACGGAGCAAGATGCGATCCCTTCCTCTCTCTGCCCCCCTTCTTCTCATCTCGTTCAGCTCGACTCCTCGCTCACACTTGGCTCAGAGAAAGAGACGCGACCAGAAGGTGGCAGGGAGATGGTCTGGGAGATGGGAGAGGGAAACAGAGAGACGCAGCATCCCGAGGGACCTGCCTACTACTGCTCTTGCTGGCCATCGCGCCATCGCTGGTCCTCCTTTGTGAGGAGACCCGAAGGTTGTCGAAGAACCGACGCGAAAAGCGGCCGCTGTAGAAATTTATTCGAACGGAATGCTTTTGTTGGACCGCCTCGTCACGTGGAAATCCAAGGTTTTCTCGTTTTTCCCGCCGGGATTTATTCAAATACCGTGGAATCGACGTTAGCGAGACTCTTTTGTTTCGACCAGTCGGTTCAGGAAGGTTTGCGCGGAGAACACTAGCGCGTGAAATTCAAACTATCTATAGGCGTGAAAACGAATTGTATACGTGAAAGGGTGAAGAACACTTGTAGATTCGCCATCTTTCAGACGTTAATCGTTCAACACTCGGCCACCGGTAACCGAATACCTGTTGTATACACGGAAAGTCTTAGTGGAATGTGTGAAGACGGTCATTATATGGCCGACCAGGGGTAAATTATATTAAATACTAAATAACTGGTGGAAGACCACGGTCTAATTGTTGTGTCGTTTGCATAATGCCTGGTCTGTAACTACTCTCTTCCCTCTACCTTCTCCCTACTCTTCCCTCGGTTCTCCATTTCTCTCTCTCTCACTCTATGTCCCTACCAGGGTACCTTTTCCTTGCATCTACCTCGTCCTATCGGCTTTCTTCCCTCCCCTTCACGTGTACAACGAGCTGACCCTCTCCTCTTATTCGCGTCGCAACACCAACGAAAAGATTAATTGCTAATTCTTGCTACTGCAACCAGTTGCTACTAAATACGTACGATGTAAAGGTCAAGGAACCGTCTGGTGTCGGTATGTTGAGCAAGAAACGTAAACGCGTTAATGAGATTTCTCCCTCTTGGTACACTGATGATCGACGCTACTCGCGAATATCTCCTTCGAACTTACATATATAGATACAGGGCGTTGAAAAAATGGATTCGAGCTTTCAGGGTGCTTTCTATACATAATGTAGGAGCAAAAAATCAGGCTAGATCACGAAAGCGGAGTCTGTTACTGGCGCGAAAGGTCGTCCGTCTTCCGTCTCGTTTGAGAGCAACAACGTGGCCTCTCATCGTTCTCCCTCAGTCATCGTCCAGTCACGTTTGCACGGTAGCCATTTGCGAGATTACGCTGAGGCGCTTGCTAGGCCGCTCATTAACGAGCGAACGAAAGAAGAGATTATCAACCGACTAAGCGTAACTAACAACAACGCGGCCCGTCCAATTTGAGAAACGGCTAATTATACGCCGTGGAACGACCGCGACGCGCTTTACCACTCTCTCTTCCCTGTCTCGCTTTCGCTGTGCGAGGAGATACTTTTTCGCGACCACGACTAATTACTCAGAACGACTTCGATCGCCACCGTTGTGACACCGTTGCCAACGCGAGATTAATTGCCATACGTGCCCCCACGAAATTAATTGCACCGTGCTACGCTTCCTACTGTGCCCCGGCGCGTCGCTACCAAAAATTAAACTGTAATAATAATAAGAGAAATGACGAAACCGAAACGGGTGACCGATATCTTAACACTTCGACTACTGTAAAAAATTAAAAAGATCTTTCTCCTAGTGATGTAGAAGCAGAGGATGATTCGAACGAGGCGGATATTCAAAGAAAATGAGAGGAAAGGTACAAGATTGATTGAGAGGCGTGATGAATTGATACACGTAATCGCTTACGTGAATTGTAATTACTTCTGTATGTACAGGATCGCTCAAAGGTTTGGTGCACTTATTAGAAATATTCTGGAATATGATAAATGAAATAAATTTGATCTGATGAAGACACCCTTCGTTTCCCCTTTAAATCTCGACGTGATATCAAAGTCAGACTGAGAACAGAGATTGCGAGCAAAGATTCCTGAACGACGAGTTCGTCGCGTTACATTCCTGAACGATGATTTTCGTTCCTGCACATGGCGAATAGACGGAGAAGGGGGTATAAGGGAGGGCTAGATTTGATTCGTAGGGGGATAGAACAGATCGGGTATGGTGTCTGCCTCGACAGACACGGGGGAGATGGCGGCGTGCAACGCCGTAGCAAAGCAATATCCATAGGAACACCCCGTGTCAGAGGGAGAGATGCAGAGACGTGCAATCAATCACGAGGGACCCTGCTGCCACGTTCGTGGCCCTCGTATCAAACGTAACGCACGGTAAACATTTTTAACTTTGCCACGTTATTAATATTCGTTGCGCTACGGGAACCTCTACACCCCCTCCCCCTCCGTGTCCCTACCGCCCTCCTATACACGGAGCTTCACGTTTTTGTTAATCAATTTGCCGCCGTTCGCGAAACGAAAAATCGTGGATCGAATATTTTTTCTTTCGTGACTTGTTTTGAAAGTTTATTAGTTTCTAAAAGCCTAATGGTAATTACAATTTTTTTAAGTACCGTTTTTCAATTTGTAGGTTCGGATGGTCGGAATATCCGAAACGATGAATGCAATCGATATTAATTGCGGTAACGCGATATCGTATGTGCGCTTTTAATTACGTGGCCGACATGCTCGCCAGGATCACATTAGACGTAATGCACGGGAAATGTTTTTAACTCCGCCGTGTTATTAATATTCGTTAGTGCTCCCGGCTCACCCGACCCAGCTCCTCCTCTGTGTTCACCTTTTTGTTGTGTTAACGCGCATTCCAGCCCGCTAATCGCAATAATGGAAATTAATAATTTTTGACAGAAGCTTCTAATCGCAAAGCGTTAAAAATGATTACAGGCTTAATTAGCAAATGTAATTCAGAAAATCATAGAATAACAATAGCAGGCGACGAAATACTTTTGTAACACCGATGTCTCTTTTCTGTTTTTCAGAACAGTTCGACATAGAATTCTGGCAAGGAACCCTCTTCTGGTAGTTCTTGAAATTTCCTTCAATTACCGGCACACAGAGCGAGCTTGTAGCTGTTGTGAGCGTTTAACAAGGACCACGTGTGTAAGACAATTCTCGACGGTTGTTACGGTCCGAGGATCGTAGCACGAGCAACGACAAACAACAACAGGATTCAGCTGCTGCTGTTTCTGCCCACGCAACGACCAACAAATGTCAGAACTGTAATCCGGATGAAATTAAAGCGCAGAATTAGCTGTGCCAGGTAAATAAGCGAACGCGACGATTCTTGCTAACCAAAGTGTCAGCTTTACTAATTTACTGTCTAAATTACTCAAAATGCATCAAAATATTTCCACTCAAACGGTTGATAACATTCAGTTCACAGAGAGCAACGTGAAATCTTGAAGATCTCTGTGAAGAAGAAGAAGAAGAAACAAAACGGTCGTCAAAATGAACGAATGTAGTTGCTTGAGATATCGCCAAAGGGTGATTAATGAACACGGAAGAAGTAGAAGAAGAAGAAGAAGAAGAAGAAGAAGATGGTAGAAGAAGAAGTCGAGAATTCGGCCGCTGTCAGCTGGAACACGAGATCGTCCCGAGGAATATTCTTTTTAATCCGCTCATAAATCCGCGCCGCGAAATTCGCCTGGTGAACGAGCCGTGAGCGCGATTAAATATTAACTACGTGGTCGATTATGTAATTAAAAGGGTATTCGTAGTAATTGGGAGGACGGGGGCTTAACGAGCTTTCTAAAATTTCCGAAGATAATTGCGCGTGCAGCCCGCGTGATTATCGGCGGTTCGCTAATTACGGGCTAACGCGGATCGTTTCTCTTTTCCAGCTATTACGCTTCGAGTCGCCGCGGAAACTGGCAAACGCGCCCACGAGATCCTGCAACTTCCTTATCTTGCTTTTCGACTTTCCGTTCGAAACAGGAACTACCATCCAGGAACTTTGCTACCCAACCACCGTTCCTATCCTCAGCCTATAACTTTGCGCCCCGTTTTCGCATCGATACGCACCATCTACCCTTAGCACGCTTCGAAATCGCTTCAGTAATTGTTTCTAGGTGAAACGATCGTTTCTCGATCCATGCAAGTAGTTGCAATCAATATTACTTAGGATATTTTTAAAATTATATACTGATTATACTAGCTAAGAAATAAAATTACATGAATTAATGATGATATTATGGTTTGATACGAGTTCATCATCTTCGGAGGGTTTAGTAAAATAAAACAATCAGACATTTCAAACATTTACTAATAGTTACACTAAGAATTCTCTATGCCAGATTGAGTTATAGTTTGACGGGACCATTAAATGCAGTCATTAAGGAATCATTAATCTTCCTCTACAGTGTGCATGACAACGGAGTCATTGTTGGAACAGGTGCTACTTCCGAGGAGGCTGAGATCATTAGCCGAATAAATGGAATCGGCCCTTCGCGGAATAAAAGAATCGATGATAGGAATCTTAACGGGAACAGAAACGACCCGTGGCGTTTCTATGATGGCGGCAATTAACCAAACCTGAAGTGGGAAGAATATTTCTACGTATCATCCTTTCCGACGATTATGTGCATATGGTAATGCAAAATGGTGCTCGTTGTCAGCAAATTCGAACGGAAATATAAGAAACCGTAGCCAGGTAAGGAACACCGAAAATATTCACTGGAGGAACATAAACGGCCGTCGTTTGTCAACCAGACGACTCAATGTCTCTCGCGTAACTCGCGTCAGGCTGCGCGAGGAATCCGCAAGATGTGCGATAAACGACGGAATCGAAAGGCAAATAAACGCTTTGCGGCGCCGCAAGCGAAATGCTCGATGAATGGCACGCTTGATCGATGCAAGGATCTTCGAGGCTGGCCTTGGTAACAACACGAAGATACGAAACAATGCTTTCATGCGGCGGAAATTGGATTCGAGAGGCAAGATTAATTAATCCGCCATGGACAAGCTTCTGCGGTTGTTAATCTTTGTAATTAACATCATGATAGAATAGATTGCTGTTTTTTACAAATCGAAGGTCTATCGTTAAATTGAAAAGCATTTTTATGCAATTTTCAGGATCAACCTTTACGTGAACTATAGGTAGATAAAATAACACTATACCCAAATAAAATAGCTGTAATTTTGGAAAAAAAGATACGCTAATATTTGGAAAAAGATACACAAGACTTCCAGCGTTGAAAAATTGCAAATACAGTGAACACCGTTTATTACAGTGATCCAGATAAAGTAGATATAATGTCTAATAAAGCTAATAATTAATAGTAGTATAAATTATAGTGTGTTCAAGATAACCGATAATATATAATTTAACGAGAGAGATGACTCTACTGATCGTTTAGGATATAAAGGTCAGTAGATAATGATACAGTAAATTAATGTAACAACGCGGTTGATAACTAACAACATTGTACACTGTAGATTAACTATATAATACTAAATAATAATTTTAATTAAATAAACATTCCCGATAATGTTCAGCGATTTCTAAAGTCACCTCCTTAATGCTAATTCTTTCCTTTACTATGTTAATAAATGGTAACGATGTTTTTAACTCAATATTCAATCTGTAACACGATCTTTTTTCCCACCATTAGGACTATCAAAATAGTATAACAGATTAGAAAGAAAAATAATGCATTTTTATGATTCTTCAATATAATATTTTTAATTGTATTGTTTAAATTTTGCAAATATACCTAATACCTTGACCTAATCACATCTGAATGAAACGATGTAAGATAATAAAAGAAATCGTTGTATCGGTGGACCGGTGATTAATTAAAAAAAGAGAAAATGAAGAAGAAATGTTGCACCTGCGTGAAAATTTATGCGTCGCGTACAAGTCGCGCGTATCGTTTCTTGTAACAAATTACATGCATACTTGATGGAACGAGATATTTATTCGAGGAGGCCGTAACCATAACGAACCGTGCGAGTTCATTTTCACACAATACACTATTTACTTCATTTCAACTAATAATTAACACCAGGATAATAACTAATACCACCGCTTTAAGCTTAAACAACCTCGTGAATTAATTTAAATGAACGCTTTAAGCCTCTACCAGCCTATCATCTATCGTCACTTCAATTTCAATTTGGATACATATATTCAATTTGCACGAGATCAAATCGGCCGATCTCGAGACTCTACGTCGTCAGACTACGTTTCACGGATCGTATTATTATGTTTAAAAGCTATTTGCATCACTTTGTTACAACAAAAGATGCTATCTATCACGAAAAATCTCCTTTTAATTAAAAGAGGTTTTATATATATTAAAATTTGTATAAAAGCATTTATCAGAACTGTTCTTTGAGGGGTGGAAAATAAATTAGTACATAAAATCATTCTTGAAGAATGTTTCGCAATTTCTAAAATTAATATTATTATGAAAGGAGTATGTAAAATTTTTTGAGATAAATTTTGTATGTTGCAATACTTTCTATTACACATTTTGACGGATTATTCTGTCATCCGACGCAAAGCAGTTGAAGCGAAACCGTGTTGCAAAGAAATATTAATCTTGTCAATTGTGATTAATACCTGATTCTAGATTTACAAGTTTCGACTGCTTTTTCAAGTGAAATTATGGCTCCGCTATAAATTATTGCCGATTGATTCAGTGAAACACTATTCAAAATTATCAGAGCATCAGATTTTACACGAATTCCGAATTTTTCAATCCGAATATTCGAAAATATAGTTGTACATAAAACAAAAAGGCATTTCGAAGCGTTTCTTTCGTTTCACATTTGCGTAACGCGTGCAAATCGTTCAAGACCGCCTTTACGATACGATTTACACCCTCAGGTCTGTTTCCTGGAGGAAGAAAACCGGCATTGTTCCAATGCGAGTACCACACGTGTTTCCTTCGAAATTGGAGCAATTTATGGGGCCCGAAAATCGTCGCAATATTCGACCCACGGCATTGCCAACATCTGGCTTTTTTCTTGCAAGTTTGGTCAATGCTACGAAATGCCTTTGTGAAACAGATTTTGTAAACTCGACAGGGAAATTAAGATTTATGCTGGCAATAGAAAATGTGGTGATTTTTACCGTGACCTTTAGAGATCTAGACTTCATGGAAAATGGAAAGACTGTTACTTCATCAATAAATCAACATTACTCATGACGTAACATTACAAACGCAATCTTGAAGATAAAGAACAAATTTTTCTCTGAATATCAATATTAAATTTTTATCTGAATAATCGCAAGTAACATTACTCGTATCAACATTAAACAACAAATAACTGACAAATTACTGCACGTGCCATTAAACTAATCTTTGAATAATATTTCATACGAATCATACTGATAATTGTATTTTATCAAGAAAACAACCGATCAATATTGTTTTGTATAGTCGCATTTCCGTCGCTCGGTTCGCGACTGACTTCGTTTTAAGAACAAACGGAGACACATAAAGAAGTGGCATGCGATGGCAAAAAGTACTTACAATTTTCGGAAAGCATGGCTCGAACAGGGCACAGAACTCGAACGCGCGTCACGGCAGGCTGCTTCCCCGTCCGATGTGAGACGTAAACTGGCTCGTCGACCGTGGCGAACTCGTATCTCTAAGCTAATCCACAAAATCTGTTTATTGCTCGAACTCGATCGAGTGCGAGCCTTACGGCCGCTTCGAGATGTCAACAATCATCGAGCGACCGTAATGCGACGATTTGAAAGCAAAACACTCATGCTTTTTCTTACAGCTATAAATCATTTCAATACAAGACTAACTATTGCAAAAATATTTGTATCAATTTTAACCAATACTATACTAATGATATTTTTTGAAATAAAGAATTGTTAGAAATTAAATATAATTGTGTTTTACAATTTAACCCCTTACGATTTAAGTATTTTTTTCTTATATTCCAACCGAACTGTAATAAATTAATTAACGAAATATGAAAATTTGTATTAAATTAGGAACTTAACCTATGAACACTTCAGCACATAGCTATCAGAGTATTAAAAATCATCATTATCCTTCATCATACTAATTTACGAGATGAAACTACCCCACGATTGATCAAAAAACCCTCTTACACCCCTTAGAACAAAATCCACCCCAAGATTCAATTCCAAACCCAAGTTACCTGTACAGATCCAAGATATCCGCGCTGCCCATCGTCTGCTGTTCGCTTCTAGGAACGATGAGATCGTTGAAAAATCGTCGAACCCTTTGGGTCCTGGTATCCCTAAAAAGGGCCCGATGTCGCGAAACAAACAATACCTCAGAAATTTAAGAGAAACACGTTCTTTTGACGCGTTGTGCAAAAAATCGATCGGTCGTATCCGCGGTTCGGCTACGAAGAGGGCAGCACCTCACCGTGCAATTTCACGTCGGCGGGGCAACCATCGATGGCCGCGTTTTTGTTATACTTGTTCTCTGTTTTTTTTTTCTTTTTTCCCTTTTTTTTTGGGTTCGTTCGCCCCTCTATTCTCTCGTAGTTGGCAGATTAGGCTAATGCGATGGACCAGATGAGATATGGGCCAACGAATCGGAGCACGGTGCTGGCAGGGCAGGGGCGTGACTGTACCCTGGAAACGGTCGTGCCCCGGGCCACAGTCACGACGTGAACTAAGTGCTGGGTGGAGCCCCGTCTAGGCACTACCTACTCGATGGAACCATCATCCTCTCCCTCGAATGTCACGACACGGGGCAACCTAATGGCTGCCAGCTACCTCGAAAACGGCGCCAGTTTTGAAAGGTTTTCGCGACGATTCCTGTTTCTAGCCTCCATTTGGTTTCAGTTTCCACAAGGTGTTTGCAGTGATCCGCGTACTATTTGCTTCCAGTGAGATCAAGAGTGCGGTGAACACCTGCATATAAGTGTTGGAGATGAATTTTGGAAAATGATAATTTCATTTGTAGAGTCGTAGCTTAATTAATATGACTGATGGAAACCTAATGGTCAATGGAGACGTTGATTGGTACGTGGTTACAGTGCTGGTAAATGGAGAACAATTTCTTTCTTAGATATCTGCAAAACTTTTTAATGTATTTTAGCATATGTTACTATGAATTACTTGTAGCAACAAAATAGTACATTTGTGTTGGACATAGTACTAACTTAACACTTAATTGTCGACAATGTTGTTATCATACTGATAATTTTTGTTAATTATCATAAACTATAGCTATGATAAATTCATCGAATATATGTCTACTTATTCAACTCGTATTTTCACTTTATCCAACACTGTTCCAAAACATCAGTTTTTATAAATAATTAGTGTTCAATAGAGTAACTGTTTCCATTTTATCCAACACACTTTTTAAAGGCCACACCCTTAACCACTTTGCTTCAGCAACTTGCTTGCTTTCCAGATTGATCCAAAATTTGAAGCTCACAGTTGAATCTTTATTCCACCCATAATCATTGTCATCGGTCATTAAGCCAAAACGTTGAACTCGCTGAATTTCCAAAACGCATCACCTGAAACAATTAAAATACTCGTCAGTCAAATTGTCTTAGCATATATTAACATATTCTTAGCGGTGGTATTGGAACTTTTCAATGATGGTTTTGGTGGTCAGGAAAAAATTGAGAACCGCTGTTCTAATGAAAAGAGGCAATCATTAAACTTCATGTTAAATAAAAAATTAACGAAACACAGACATTTCCTGTAACATGCATATCTCGTTGAAATGACGTCTCTTTTAGAAACAGAAATCGTGGATAAAGAAAAAAAAAGGAGGCGATGCATTGGTAGCTCATACAAGCAGTTTTCAGTTGATCGGACTTCACCGGGTATTTTTTACGTCTGTTTGCCCGTTTCAATTCCCCGTTCGAACCCGCTCCTCATCCATCTGCCTACCGATATATTCGTTCGTGGGCATATCTCCCGGCCACTTTTCAATTTCGTTCGACGAATTTCCACTTCCTGTTCCACCTTTCTACCAACTGTACACGTCCAATCTTCGAAATCATAAATCTGTGTGCTTTTTACTTAAGTAACCCATTAATACTCAAAGTTGCGTACTATCTGTTTAAGCATCGACGATTTAGCACGCGATACCGAGTGAGCGACAGTAAAGGTATTATGCTATCTTGAATATCTTTGGGAAGCAAGGTCATCTCGGAGTATCTCATCAAACGTCCACGGTGAAGGGTCAAGGAGGATGGGGTTGAAAGCTGGACGAGGCGAAATTTCCAACGTGCCACGGACTCGACTAACCCGTCTCTCCGCCTTCCTCCAGGGAATACTACAGCAGTGTCATCGGAATATACGGCTAATTGCGAGGATGTTTTGTTTGCCTGTCGGAACCCGAGACCATCTCCCCTTACAAGCTTTTGCATTTAGCCTTTCCGTATCGACGACGCGTACAGAGCACGAAACTCCGCGAAGCCGGGGGTGGCTTCCTCGTCAACCACCCTTCTACTGGTAACTTTGCTTTAACGGTATAATAGGATACCCAGGGCACGGTGAAAGTTGCTTTTCCAACAAAATCCTGGATGATTCTGAACTAAGAACCTTACACGACGGCTAGGACTGTTACTCTATGCTCCGATGGCATCGAGTTGCCAGGTTCTGATAAACAAATTTTACTGTAATTTCTCGCTACTTTGCCGAGGGACGCCGATTGATTTGTTAATTAAGTCGTGGAAATAGTTTCGCAGGCGCGCACGCGACAGGACGTATTAATCGTCGAACATCGGAGGTCATATATTGTTTGTGACGCTTTAGACACGAACATTGATTGCGAGAGAGACGCCGGCGTCGCTCGGTGGTTTGCGGAGGAGAGACGGTGTGCTGCTCGGCCAGGAGGACGAGGGCGTCCCGGGGGAGGACGGAAGTAGAGGGAGCGGCGATATTATTGATTTATGTCCCGTTCTACGTTATGTATTCTAGCTTTTCCTCTCTACAATGACACCGAATGATGCCCGACCGAGGTGCAAGGTTTTCCTCGATTTCGGCTTCGACTTCGAATACTTCGACGATGGTCCAACCCTATAATCCGCTTCGCTGAAGTTCTAGTAGATCAGATGTTATACTGAGTATATTCAAATACATTTTATAGATTTCCAAAGTCAATTTTGTCAATCTTAAATACAACCGTAAATATCAGAGAAAATATAATGAGTCCAACTATGAAGGCCTCAAAATCCTTGCCTCTATTTGGTCAATTTTCAAAATGATAAGAATCATAGCAAAATGATCAGGGTCGTCACAAAACAACCATGAATCCTGTACAACAGGATTATCACTCGATTCGAGGGTAATAAATCAAAATTGACCATCAGCAGAGCCGGAAGCGCAACAGTGGCCATCGAAAATCCTGTTCATCGAGCAAGACGAACAACTATCCCCGATGATATCAATTATCTTCGATACGAGTTACAGTTACTAGCCACGAAGCGGTGTACAGGGTGGAAGGTAGGTTGACGCGAAGTTGTGCGTGCCGGAAGTCGGGGTGGGCGCAGAGAACACGAAGGCAGGGGGGGGGGGGGGGGCATAGAGGGTGGTCAGAGATCAAGAGAGAGAGATCAGCGTGCGGGAAGCGCCGAAAATTGATGTATTCCCTATGCAAAACAGCAGTAGCCACGGCGCTAGACGGGTAGCTTGGACAGCACGCAACTGAGAATCCTCTATGGCCCCGGTGTCTCTCTCGTTCTCTGCCCTTCGTCTCTCTCTCTTTCTCGCCGACTCGTCCGTCTCGCCTTCTACCACCATCACCGACTCCGTCACCTACGTCCTGAACAGAATCGAGAGCGGTATAGGAGCAATTAACACTCTATTAACACTAACGACGCTCATACATAACAACGGTGCCGCTGGGATTGAATTTATGGTCTGTTAATGGGGGTTACTTTATGCGTTATGCAGTCGTACCGCGTCACCGGCGACAAACGGCGCTCGCGTAAATTTTGCACCGAATCAGCGCTAACGGATTCTTACGTACGCTACAGGAAAGACGCGCGGAATATAACCGCAAAACACTAATGGTCTTAATTATCATCTAATGGTGTAATGATTACATAATTCCCATTCGATAGACAGGATTCATTGAAAGAAACGAAAGAGGAGAAAGAAGGAAACAGGTGTACGCGCGATTTCTCTAGGGCGTAACGCGAGTAAACAATAAAGTTAGGGGGCTCACCGTTCGTCGAGTGCAACGAAGTCGAGTGCCAAAGTTCATCGTGAGATCCTGCCCTCCTCACGGCTAAAGGAGACGCGGCAAGGCCGGTAAAGTGATAAAGCGGCCATAAATTCTGACCGCCATCCTCCCACCAAGCCCCTCTCTAACCTGCCAGCTAGCTCTCTGCTCTGTCTCTCGTTCTCTTGCTTCCTTTCGTCCTCCCTTGTCTTCCTTCCTCTTCCGTTCACCTTATTTCACCTCGTCCCTCATCTTCAACAACCTGGATGCACCTGCAACAACGAAATTGGCAAAGGTCAGCGCGGGTTTCGAAGCTTTAGATCGGTGGATGGTTTTGATACTCACTGGTTGATGATTCTGCTGGATGCTCATGAAAAATGTTCATCTGTTTAATGAAAGGATTGAAAACTGTTGAGTTGTCCATGCGAGATTGACCCATAAGAACTATGAACTTAATACAAATTGCGTTTAGGCTACAGAACAACTCCATCGAAAATTGAACCTCGAGAATTAATGTCCTAATATTAGGTCTTTACTCCAGAAAGTCTCAGGATTTCTTTTTGAGAATCTTCTTACCTGATGAATTATTCAACGAAACAGTGTCGACCACGTGTTTGTACATATTTCGAAGGGTGTCAAATCGTGTCCCAGGTTCTTCCCCATAAAAAATTTCAACTATAAACTCTACTATTCATTTCCAAACAACTCATGGGCTCGACTGAGACGTTATTTCTCATCCAAATCTACCGATCTTTTATTTTGTATCTAAGAGAATCGGTTGAAATGTAACCCCTATTTAACCCTTTGCCTTACAATGTTGAGCCACAGTTATGGTGACGCTTAGGGTTCAAATGAGAAATCCTTAGTGACAGAAGGCAAATCTGCAGACAAGAATCTTTCACCAGAAGAAAATTGGTTCGTGGGACAAAGGAATCGCAGCTTCCCATTCCTATGGGAAGTCAAAGCGTGAACGGAAATTAGGTCAGTCAGGAACGCATAGAATTCCACGTGGACGCGGAGAATGGAGATGTCCCGGTCGAGAAGAAACCGTTGCCTGCAGGTAGTTTGGTGAAATGTTGAAATCCAATATCGCAGCGTAGCCAGGCATACCAACTGCCTAGAAGCTAGGCACACGGTATGTTCGTTGCAGCGCAGGGGCGAACAGACAGAAATCCCAATAAATCATCCCGTCACGAGCCGTGAGCCAAGGCGGAGCCTCTTGCCTCGTATTAGCCAATAATAATCCTCTCCGAGGTGGAGGCCATCTTGGATTATACAATGGTTCCTTCCGCCACAATTCGTATAAATGCAACCTTCGGGTTACCGGACAACCTTTCCTGAAGGGTCCCAGTGGCGTACCGACCGTGATATTTTTCGGTCGACCGTGAAAATGCATCGACCGTTCCTCTGAATCGATGTCATTCTCGACGTTTATTTAACCGAGATCGGGGTCGATACGACCCTTACAAACCGATCTGACAATTAACTTAATAAAATAAATATTTCTACGATAATGAATAAACTTGAAAACCTAAAAAAAAGAAACACTTTAGAGGGATTGAATAAACCCTCAGACCAGTCCACATGAGTGATCGATAAAGTTTGATCAGACACGGAGACGAAATGTTGAGAAGAATGTATTTTATACATCCGGTTCGTCAATTGTTCGCATCGATCTTGACACTCGATTCGTTTTCATATTCAACCACAATTTATTTCTCGTTTTCAAACACAGCTATTATAATTAATATAATTATTATTATTAATATGGACAGACTCTTATATAATATAATACAATACGGTTTAGACTTGTCGACATGATAGCGTTATAATACTATTATCGTTTTTTCCCATCGTCATCGTCATTGTCTTTGTTGTCGTCGTCATTACTCATAATACATAGCTCAATCGCGGTGCATATCGTTTGTCATTGCAAATATCGTATCGTTATTATCCTAAATCGTCACCATCGTCGCCATCATTATCATCATCATCATCATCGTTTGCTGACATACTCCATTTTCTTTTTCTCCTCATGTGTACATTTAGTTTACATAATGCGGGACACTACAAAATAATTATATACGTTTATCATAATTCGTAATACTATTATATTTATATTTATATTCCATATTTATATTTATTTATATAGATTCATTTATTTATATCTTCTGTTTCCGCTTATATACTTCGGTTAAGTGGTGTGTGTAGCCTACATCATTTTTCGACCTGGCTAGGCACACCTCTATCTAAACGTGTTACTTCTTTTTTTCTTTTTCTTCATTCTTCCGCATCGCGTAACCGCTTTGAACGAATGTGTTCTTGTATCCGGTCTTTGTGTGTGTGAAGGGATGTTCCATCGGTTCGGTCGGGGGCAATGTGTTCACGTAGTACTGATGACTTGAGTGTACAACCAAAATAGGGTAGAAAAAAATGAATTTGAACTTCTCAGTAACTTGGGTCAAAAATTTTCAAAATCGAATTTATCAATGCGTAAAAAATAAGAAAGTAGAAGTACTAAATAAATAAATAAATAAATAAATAAATAATCAGGTTAAAAACCTAATTTTAATCACAAGTACTACGTATTGGTGACGACAACGTTGCGGCTCTTAATAAATATTGTCATCCTTTTCTTCTATCTTCTCGTCACGGTTACAGGACAATCGAACCTCTTACATAAGGGTCGAAATCGTCCCTAAGCGACGATTTTTTGTTCGTATATTATTACAGTACCGTATCAATAAATAGTAATTAATTAATTCTCTGCTACCGTTACTTTGTAATCTTCTTTTAGTCTATTAAACAGGTACCTACTTTACCTACGCGGTATCGTATACAGCGGTCGCGGTTCGCGATTCGATGCCGCGACGTCAGACGTCGCCTTTCACATTGCCCCGCCGATAAAAAAAACTTTCCACGCTATTTTGAGGCAATTATTTACAATGCTTCCTCTCCTGTAACAGCGCAACCCGTGGCGCGAGACATTCATTTTTCAAGGAAAATGGTAGCAAATTTGAAATTAGTACTATTGTTTTCGACCCGATAGAATTTCTAAAGTACAAAGTACATATTCTTGGTTTCGAATTTACAAACTCATTACAATAAACGAACTATAAGGATGCGCTATTGTAGGGTATCAGTCTTCACAGAGGCGGAACATTATCTAATTATAAGAAACTCTTGTCGAATTTGAAGAAGTGTGTGTAACAATGACGACTGCATCTTGAAAAAACAATTTACGCTGGTGTATTTACAAATGCAACGGATGTGCAATGACCGGACGATTTAACGCTACACCTAAACAAAGGAGGCTTTTGGATACTGCTTTCTTCCTTTTATGTAAATGATACTACGCGAAAACATGAGTGTTTCTATGTATGTCTGAGACGAAAGAGATCGTTTTCAAAAATAAAACCAATCAAAAATAGTGAACAAAGTTACGTATGGACATTGCGGCACCTGTGACTTTATTAAACGTGTACCAAAATTTTCTTCCATTCTATCAGTATGAAATTGTAGACCGTTTTTAATCCTTTTTGCTCACTTTTTAATATATATCTTCTTTCGTATTGTAAAAAAGACGGCTAATCGACTTGTAGGACATAATGGAGATTTTTAAGTTACAATATTCCGAGCGATGGATGATCGCGTTGACTGAAAGTAGAGAGGCGATGGACTACTGTTCCTTTCTTCTTCTTTTCTTTACGTATTTAGGTAAGATATACAGTACCTATAAAGGTGTATACGAAACTAGCGACACCTGTCTGGAGAGTGACAGGCAGTCAGGAACTCTTCGGCGCATGGGCGTGCGAGGACGTGGTTTTATTGTTTGCCAATTATGACATATATTAATTTACACAATTGGTATTCTGGTAGACTGTCAGAGACATGAATCAAACTGGCAAGTGCATTAAAACAGCATATAAATTAATAAATATTCATAAAGAGGGTTTCCCCATCTGCAGAGACCATTTTTATTAGGACTTACTATCGTGTTTAATGTAGATTTCATAAGTGGTGTTTGCGAGCTCCCCAAATAGACACATTGACTATATACACGATCGCAAACCCCACGAATGTTTTAATTATTTAATTGCGCGTTGCCCATTTTATCATTTGTGGTGAATTAGATTAAATGTCTTTTACTTCTTTTCTGTAACCACCGTCCCCGCCCGCTGCAACCGACATGCCCGTTTCCTTAATTCTATTTAATTATCATCTTAAGAGTTAGGCTTTAGTCGTAAACCTTATCGATTAAACGCTATCTTAGTGACTCACTTCGTACATACGCACTGTTGTTCTTGTTGTTCACTTCTCTCTTTCTCTTTAACAATTCCACTTCCTCTCTTCGTCGCTTTTAACTCTACATACAATCACGTTACTCGCTTGTCCACTTTTGCTTTTGTTTCTCTTTTCAAATTACGTATATATCCGTAAATTTTTACGCGACTATATAAGAGTAAAGATAAAATATATAATTTTGCATTTTACACATTCCAGTTCACGCTAGGAATTTCCTCTTTTTTTATTTCCCCTCGTCAGTTTCACCGCATTTATACACATATATATTTACTCTATATTAGTAGTAGCTCGCTATCCAATGGATACAAAAATTTCTTTTTTTCATTTTAAGCTAGAATTGGTGTTCCCGGCGATCGCTCGCGGTTCGAAACTTTTCTCCTCGTGGTTAGCCACGCGATTATTGCACAATTAATTTATTTTTCTTCGTGTGTTACGAACGATTGCTAGTAAGAGAAATACCGATGATAAATTCACTAGTAGCGATCGAATGAATTTCTCGCTTTATGCGTAATAAACTGAACCTTGAATCGGTGAAAAATCATCGAGATCGATTTGCACTTTCTACCGAGAACGTGCGTGCTACACGAATTGAGACATAACAATGTGAACGCCCTTTTACCAATTGGTCAAACACATTCAGCTACAGTCACTGAGTTATAGCCTAACTGGAGTGTGAATTAAAGGCAGGCTGAGTTGTTGAAGAAGGATAGTTATACTTAAACCTAGTTCACAACTACATATAGAAACAGGATTGCACAAAGAACTGAAATAAGAATGGGGCTCTCCCTAGGGACCCCTAGGTCAGCGCTGTCCAAGAGCTTGCCCTGGCGGCAATGATTTGCACTAGTGGCAATGGAATTCAAGAAATTGAAAGATGTTACCGTTTCTGACATCACTGTCCTGAGAGCCGCTTTGAATCAGGGCAACTTGTAGACAGGCTTATCCTTAACTTCACACTTCAGTTAGATTAAAGATCAATGATCAAACATTTGACAGAGATTAATGCTGCAAACTCTTAGTGGTCAGGAAAAGTGTCTGGAAAATAGTTTGTCAGACAGGCATTTATGCGTGAAATTTTGCTCGCACTGTGGACCCCAGTTTGTGTCGTAACGGGTCGGTAGTGTGATGCAAGGCCAATAAATACTTCCTTTGTCTCGAAAGCCGCACCCTACGCCTCGGTATATCTGGCCTACATAGATGGTATCGCTGATTAATGTAGCCAGAATATTAACGCGTGCGTTGCTTACCAACCGCAAATCATGCAAAAATAGGAAATCACCGAATCGTGTGAGGTGAATCGATGTATTGTGATCTTTATAAATCGTGATCGATATTTCAAGGGCCTTGATTCTAGACGAGAATAAGAGAAAGCTTACTAATCAACGCGATACGTAATCTAGATCTCTGAATGGAAGGAACAAGAAGGAATTAATTTTGCATTGACAGACAAAGCCGTTGACGGGGAAACGTGGAACTAAAAATGCTCATGGTTGACAGTTCGATGAATGTGCGATGGAGATATGAAAATCAAGGTACATTCCGTTTGTTTAACACTTACACGACTGTCAATGGGTCTTTTTAGATACAGAAATCAATCGTTTCTCATTAATTTTCATTTTTACTTTTGTATGGTGCCAAACGACTGCTGTCCATGTAACTATTTCGGCGACAGTGATGCAAGTGTTTATAACATAATTAATCCGCAATTTCCACGAATTCTTGCCAAAGTGGTTTTCAATGTAAACGATAAGTTTTTTATGACTGAAACTATTTTCCGACTCAGTGTACGAATAAAAAAGATAAGTAGATCAAGACGACGACCGATGATGGTTCGTTATTTATCGTCGGTGTTCCTCTTTCCTTGAAACTTTTACGAAAACCCATACCTACAGCGATGGCGAAGAAGCCCCTCGACGGGTTATCGAGCTTAATTGACGCCAATTTGCCCGAGCAATTTAGAATCACGACCCCTGACCGTAAACGTGCGGGTTTCGGGGCTTCTCTTCCATACTCCCACTCGCCAAACAATAAAAAAAAGAAAAGAAAAAGAAGAACCGTTCACAGGAGACAGCGAGCGATCGTCGACGATCTTCCGTTTTTCACAGTTCGTTGCTTCTCGTGACAAAAAGTTATACATAAATAAATCTCTCGAGAAAGAATGGCCGGCTGATGCTCAATCGATGCGCGTGCGCGAGCTGGACCATGTATTACGTATATCAGTTCCATATATGTATCTCCCATTTTATTTATTTCTTTTTTTTTATCTTTCCATGATCATTTTACTTCTTTGTTTATCTCTCGTTAATGTGGGAACGAGTCTAAAGAAAGTATTCCTCGGACCCGTGAGATCTTTAGATTCACTTCTTAATATACATATATATACCTATATAATTTTTTTTTATTTTTTTATTCGTTTGTCTCTAAATACTTCATCTTCTCGTCGTAGTCATCGTCGTCGTCCTCGTCTCTGTCGTCGTTTATACATAATTACGTATTCGTTAATTATCGTTTATTTACGTATATCGTAGATTGCGTGTATACAAGGTGTATAAACTAAATTACGTCGATCTATGAAGTTTTACAACACAGCACAAGAATTCGCCGCGGCAGTTTTCCGACGCGTCGGCCCTTACGAGAGGGGATGCGACGACGTCGGCGACCACGTGAGGATCGACGCGCGGCATCGTTGATCCGTCATCGAGATCGCGAGCTTCACTGATCGGGCCGATAGATGGTGCGCGTTTGTTCGCCGCTTGGCACCCTAAACGCATTCAAGTTACTTTTTTTAAGTATCTAAGGGAAAACAAGAACGGGGAATCACAGACTGACTAGTGATACGCGTTGGCACGTCCAGTGCCATGGGAATTCCCTGGTGAAATTTAACTAGTTGGAATGATTAAGAGTTAAACGATGAAGAAAATGGAGGGCAACTGTTCAATTTTTGAATTTAATTTCTCAACTCTACCTTATGATTACTTTTCACCTATCAAATTATGTGATACAATTTTATTATTATAGGTCACTAGTAACCCCCATGGCGCCACTTGCAAGTAGAGTACCAATCACCAGTGATCCCCATGGTATTCAACGCGTTAATTATGAAATTCTTAAGTAATGGAAATTCAATTCATTAATAGAAATTTAGCCATGACAGTGTTAACAGAATAATGCTACGTCTCTAAATGAATCATTGTTTATAACAAATTTAGAGCAAGGAGAGATACCATAAATAGTGAAACAGAATTTTCTATAGAGTTTTACTCGGTGGAGCTAGTGTTAAGGTGCCAAGCGGTTTCATGCCGAAAGCATCCTATTCCAAAAATACGCTACGAATTACATCACTTGGTAACTTGGCCTCGTGTCGTGCGGAGCAGCAGTAAATTTTCAATGACCACTCGCTTGCAAGATTCCTCGGGTTTTGGTCGTTCGTATCGAGGATCTCTTTAACCGGGGTCGCCTCTTCTTTTTCTCTCTTGTTTCGTCATTGCTTTGAATATTTACAAGGAAACAGAAAAACGCAGCGAACACGGTTGCACGATTTCTTGGTTGCTGTTTCGAAACACAGCTTCGCGATACGGCTTACCTCAAAAGAAAAGGTACTTACAACAATAATTACCAAGGTAGAATATCAAAACATCCGAAAGATTTTGATACGAATTATGAAATGCATTTTACTTCGGCAGAATGATAAATATGATATATACTGTGTACAAAAAATTAAATGAATAGTCCTTTTCTTTCGAGTAGCCGCAATAGACTTTTGGTTTACGATAGTACTCGCGCGAGCGTAATTATACAGCGATGCAATATACCCGTAATTTCGTAGCTGTACACTCGACGAGAACAAATTATAAGAGGGTCTTTCATTGACACGTTCTTCAGACAGTGTACATACACGCGATCAAGAAGAGAAAAAAAAAAGAAGAATGCCAAAAAATATCTGATAGGACACGAACATACACGGAAGTGTAAATATAAATATGAAAACATTTTTGTTTTTTTTTTTGTTTTTTTATAACTGACCTTGCGATGACACTGTGATGAAGAAATGTCAGGTGGGTTTTGACTTCTGCTCCGCCGAAGGCCTCCTCACTCCTGAAACACTGTGTGTCCTTTTCCCTTTCATTCAGAACACACTAACGGACAAGACAAGTTTTGTTCACAACTTTTCCCCGATTGGCCGAAACTGTTGGATCCGATCGATCACCAAACAAATCACTGGAATTTAAAGAATTGCATAGCACACACTAAGATTTCACTGGTTCCACGACAAAGTGATCTAATCTCGCTTAATTTTTTTCTTCGTAGATTTTTTTTTCTTCCGCTGTTTTTCACTAATTAAATTAGATGTAGTGTGCAAGCAACCGATTTTCACTTTTTTCTTTCCGTTTGTTCCTCCGGCAACGAAGAATCACACTTGGCACGTTCTTGATTCCTTAAGCAACCCTCTGGCTGAGCCACCGCGGTATTTGTCGAAATTAATAAAAAAAAAAAAAAAAAAAAAAAAAATATAAAGTAACTATCTAAACGATCGATCCTCTCTAAAGAACACTAAACCGTTTCTGATCTACTCGCTAAACAGAGACACGATGGACGATCGTCCTTCGTCCACTATTTTAAACTAACCACTCTACGACTCTACGCGTGTACGACGTAAGAGAATAAATAATAAAACGCTTCCCTAAAGGTATATTTCTTCTTTTCCACGCGGTAAATATATATTCGTCGCACGATTCTTGCACTCGTTCGTTCATCATTCGTTCTGTCTCTCTGGTTCATTTTCGCTGCTCTTCTTCATACATATATATGTATATAATATTTATATATTTATATATTTATATGTATATATGTATCACTTTACAAGCTTTCATTGGGCTCATTCATTCTCTACTTTACAATTAATTTTCAAACATTCGCGCTATAATTTTTATGGACGTGTATCCGCCATTTTAAAGTACGTATATATTTTTTTCTCTCTCACTCCCATTCTCTTTCTCTCTTTCTTTCTCTCATCCCTATCATTATAGGCTTTAGTACAATTACATTCGATTAAATGTAATAGAGGTTAACGCGGTTCTGATTAGCATGTGATCCAGTTTTCTTCCGATCTGATCCGATCCGATCCGTTCCTCCTGTCCGATTCCTTTCATCTTCGTTCCATTTCCACGACATTACTGTTAGAAGATATCATGGATCTTTATAAATCTTCATTCGACTCGTTCGTGTGTGTCCCGTTCACATCTTCACTTCCGTGTTGTTCAATTAATTTTCGTCTCTACGCGTTATCCTTTGTCTTCTCAATTTTTTTGGTACGAGCAACTTGATTAACACGACAAAATAAGCGTCATTGCTGTATGTGGAGCAAGGGTGGTTTGGGTGGGGACTCCTTTTCGGATATTGCAGGGGTGGCATGGCGTGAGGGGGTGTGTATTATGGGGAGGAGGTAGTGCTGGAAACAAGGTATTAACGACCCTGAGAGAGATGAGACCTCTTTGGAAGTTCCACTCCTCGGGACTCTCTCAACCCTGTGGTGATGTCTGAGGCGAGATCTCGGTGTCACCGTCGCCCGAGCCTGGTTCACCCTTCGTCTTGTTCTCCTTCTTCCATTTCATCCGTCTGTTTTGGAACCAAATTTTGATTTGTCGCTCCGTCAGACAGAGCGCGTGCGCGATTTCGATGCGTCGCCGCCTGGTGAGATATCGGTTGAAATGGAACTCCTTCTCTAGCTCGAGGGTCTGGTATCGGGTGTACGTTTGTCGACCTCGTTTCCTCTCTGAAACACGGAAACCAGCAACGTTTCTCGTTAGTTTCGCGTTTCCAGTCGGTTTTTTTTTCTATGTCTACTTGATACTGGATCTGATACTACTTGCGGTTGCGTCAGTACAACGCAAAGTTTTAAGGTTAAGATATGGTCGCTAATTAACAGCGCTACGAATTTAATTTAATCTTTGGATCAATAACCAAGATGTCCATGATTGCTTTATAATCGTAGTATCTGGATAACCGTGGCAAACTAATTACTAAATACCGAGATATGTATATCACAGGGACCAAAGCGACGACAGCGCCATGGCGAAGCGATGCAACGCGACGCAAGACGTTTCGTTAGCCTACGTACGGCCTCCTTGAACCTGCTATCCGAGATATTTAATGAACGCCGTGTGCAACCTGCTTCGGCACGCGGTTGAGGTTTTTACAGGGCTTCGTTTGAAACAAAAATACCTGCTCAGCGAAGAAAAAAGCTCGACCGCCAGTTCGTAGGCGCAGTTCCGTGTATGATAGATACCTTACAGATATCCGTGACATGATCTGCGCTCGGTGTGGCGGTACACGAATCCCGAACAAGAATATTAATTGTACTTGCCGAGGGAGCAACGAAGAAAGGGAGAAACACGAACGAATAGAGAACCACAGCTGGAGTCGACGTGCGAGTATTTCTGTCTCCTTCTCTCTTTCTCTCAGCAGGCATAATATCAAAGGGTTAGGTTAGCTGTTGCCACACGAGCGTAAGAGGGCAAAACGAGAATATTTCAAAGTGGTACGAGGGAAGGAAAAAAAGGAAGAGCAAGGAAAGAGGAGGAGACAGAAGCGGAGGAGGAAGAGGAGGAGGAGGAAGAGGAGGAGGAGAAGAAGAAGAAGAAAACTCCTTGGTGAGCATTCGAGGCAAACGCCGCCCGTCGCGCTGTCGGCCGATGAAGATGGATGGCGACTCTGCTTCCAGACAGAGAAAGAGAATTCTTGGAGGGCTCTGCATCGTTCAGCTGGACGAAGACGGAGGTTCGAAGGAAGGAGAGAAACTCTGGGAACATGCTCTCTCTTGTTCCCTCCCTCGGGCTACGCTCTCAAATTAACAACATACCAATCTCTAGCGTTTTCTTATAAGTTTTAACCATTTTGCTAGCTTCCATCTGATTCCTCTTAGCCACTGAACAATTATTTTCTATTCCTACCTCGTACTTCTTCGTCTTTCTAAGTTGTTAAAATATACGTGTAACAATAATTACTCAAGATACCATCATTCTAAGTTAACCAACAAGCTAGCACCAAAAATACATCGACAACGTTTGCCAGAAAATTGGAGTCCTAGTCAGTCGATCAAAGGATGCTCGGGATAAACATAGATCTTGGATTTCATCAAAGAAGCCCACGAGTCGTCTCATGCACATGCTTTTACGTGGATAGCCGGCTTATTAATGTTCATTCGTCAGCCGGTTAATGAAGGTACCCCGTGAAGACAGTCTACATCCTGGCCCAGAAGATCATCAAAGCCTTCATGGAATAATAAAACGGCTTGAAGTCACGCTCGACATACCCTGTACCGATTAGTCGATGCCTATTTACCGATAACAGCCTTAATACCTAATTATAATTCCTGCGACACTTGTATCAATAGAAATGATAAATAAGAAGTGTAATTTAGCAGAACAACTCTCAACCGGCTGGGTCAAAGAGATTCTTAATAATCATGTGACTTCAAAAGCGGTGACTGAACTGCAGCTACTGACTGAGATTTCCATTTAGCAAAATAAGCATTAAATAAATTATTTATCAAATACTAGCAAGAGGTTACTAACATAGACACATCATCCTCAGATTGGCGAATGTAGCACAAATAAATTTTGCCACAATAAAGGCACCGCATAGTAGATAGTAAAGAAACAATATCAGATAGAATCCCAGTCGTATTCAGAAGTCCTTGAGTCGGTGTGAAAGCATTATCTATCTGCACGATCTCTAGCAAATTAATCACCGCTATGCACTACGAGCACTGCAAAGAATTTAATGGCGTTTTCATTGTGCGAATACGTCGTGGGAAACACGGCCACGACGTGCTGAGGGTACGAGATGTTTTTTCCCGCCAAACGCTAGTTGGCGGGAACAGCTGAAACAACTATGTTCCAGGGATCAAAGGACATTTTAGAAATGTAACATAGAAATCTCTATAGAGATGGCTTAAGTTCGTCAAAAGAGGTATTCATATTCCCAGTGTCTTGGAGCGATTTTCAAGTATACCTGAATATCTAACCTACGGGAAGATGCATGACTTTCTTTCTGCGATTGAAGGATGCGTTCATCCATCGAAGGACGGACACTCGCGGGGCGTGTCGAACAGGTCGATAACAAGAAAAGCTAGCCAGAAACCTTCGGTTTATGCTGAAGCTTGGTTCTCTGATCCTGGCGTATAGCCGTTGCTCTCGCGGACGGAGGTGACTTTAAACGCGGGGCAATAAATTAACGGCGTTGGGTTACGCAAGGATCAAATGTCCCCTGGAGTATGGCCGAGAGATTTATGGGTCTGCCTTCACTGGCGCAGCATGAAGGAACGGAACAGAACGGAACGGAACGGAACGGAACGGAACGGAACGGAACGGAACGGAACGGAACAGAACAGAACAGAACAGAACAGAACAGAACAGAACAGAACAGAACAGAACAGAGCAGAGCAGAACAGAACAGAACAGAACAGAACAGAACAGAACAGAACAGAACAGAACAGAACGTACACAACCGTACGGCTTATTATAGGCTAGTTGCTCCGCTTCACTCCGCTTCACCTTCAAGTCGATGGTGGACTGGTCTTTCAGACCCGCCGCAGGATACATGCAGGACTTTTCAGACGAGCCAGCCTAGCTAGCCGGATGTTGTAACTCGCTAATAAGGCGCGGCCACCACTCGCTGCCCAATTAAGCTAAGCTTTACGTGGCCACCTTAAGGCCAGGCCTTGAAACGCTCTTCGATTAGATACCCTAGATATCCCATTAATTTTATCCGTTCACCCCTCTCTTTGCCCTCTTCCCTCTCGTTCCGGTTATACACGAGGAAAGAGCCTCTCGGATTATATGACCGGTCGACGTCGCTGACAGAGGTTCAGATTAATTGCGAGGAATCCGGTGAATCGCTTCGGAAAACCTTCTCGATGGACACTTCGGGGAATCAGGTGTTTTCGATTGGAATACATATTTCTTGGTCTTTTACTGATAGGATAATCGAGATGGCCATTTTTTGTTTTTGATTCACACATTCCTTCACCCGCGTACATTATTTTTCCTACAAATTCGTTCAGAATTCAAAACACGAGCAGGTGTACATGGAATGGGGAGATCGTAGACAAAGTAGGACATCGGACACACCAAATGCATACGTTGGCCGAACCTATTCTCACTGCTCATTATCTCGACCTTCTAACTTCTCCTTCAGGCTCTCAGGCTCAGTCTCCTTGTCCGGTTGTCTGCTTGTCTGGCCGAAAGACAGAAAAAAGAAGGTGAAGAAGGGAGAAAGGCCTCCTATCAGATAGTTTGTTCCCCTTGGGGGCTCCTAAGTTCTGTGTATGAGTGTGGGGTCGACTTGATGTTCTTCTTACCCCGCGTCTCTTGGCGGCGACTTCTGTTGAATTTCTTTTTCTTCCGTCCTATATTTCGGTCCAGGTGGTTATTCCGCGCTTAGGACATTTGCTATTCCCACTTTGTCGAAGGTTATTTAGTTTCCTGGACGAGAATAACCATGCCCAGCTGATCCATTACGAGCAACTGAAGCTTGTTTGTTGTTCGAATCGATAGGAGGACGGGATAGTCTGCACTTCCGGTTTCTACACGTCTATGGATCGAAACGTGAACCAGTTGAGTTAAGATTGCGCTTCCTAACCTCCGAAATCAACTAATTTCAACTAATACAAATTCATATATTTAAAGGTGAAAGTATGTTTTAAATTTTATCCAGAATTCAACTTTCAGATCCGCATATATAATTCAACGAATAGGTGAAATTCGAACGTGTACGACAAATCCCGTTCTTGGTCCGCGTCTCTTTAATCCCGACCACGTGATCGAACTTCCTCCAGTTCCCCGTCTGCATCCGTCCGTCTGAGTCTCCATATATTTTAAGCGTGGCAATTCGTCTTGCTTTTTGTATTTCCGTCCTAGGCTGCTTGCTTTATGTCACGTTGTTTTCGTTGAACTTTCTTCGCCGGAAGGGAGCATGCTCGCTTTTTTTGCTGAATGGGGACAGAGAAGGAGGAGAAGAGTCACCATAGGCTTCGCATAGAGGTCGCGCCATGCCGACAAGATAACCTTCGTTCAGGAATTTCATCGGTTGTTTATGCAACGGAGGCCGCATTCCTAACCTCGCAAACTTCCTGAATCTCTGATGGAAGAAAATTATCAACCACCTACGTTAGCAATTAACATCTTACCTAACCGATTGTAGATGAAATGGATAAGGTAGAAAACAAATTTCACGACTTAATTACTCAAATCAATGAAAGGAACGAAGCATTAAAGTACTTAAGAACGTGGCATTATTTCTTCCGAGTGCAAACTGAGAAACAAGAAAATAAGAAATTCGTCTACCGAAACACTGTGAATAATTAACGTATTTAATTCTCGGATATCCCTGGCCAGTCCTACCAGGAACGTTGGATTTCCAGCGATCCGTTTCAAGAATTTTTTGCTCCCCCTCAAGAAATGCCTAATCTGTGAACGTAACGAAGTCTTTGGTCTAGCCCACTTTCACCCTGGTTTCTCCCAATTTCGAGGTTTAATTTATACGCGCAGCTCCAGCAGTAACCCATATCACCATCGCCCGTATCGTCCATGGTTGTCTCGGGAGTTCATGGCGGCGGCCCAAAAAGCAAACGGACATAGGATTTCTGTAGACCGATCCATCATCGTCACCGTCCCTACGCCCTCCTCCAACCAGACCTCCTGTCTCTCTCATCCATCCTTTCCTTTGCTTCCTATGTAGCTGTATCTTAGTCCCTCTTGCTTTCGTTCTCACGTCATTTCCTCGACGCTCCTCCTTCCCTGCCCTTTTGGGCTCCGTCTCTTTTTGAATATCTCAGAAGCCGCCATCGTTACGGACACCAATCTCGTGTCTGGCAACGCGGTCTAGAAACGCGTTTCCAGATGAGATTCTGATCGCCACGACCCCTGCCAGCTTTGACCACAGATTAAAAACTGTACACGTCCGCCACATGGTATCTAGGAGACTTTTTGCTTCTTGATGAAGGGAAAAGGGGTTACAGGTGTTAACCGTTCAAGTTCGGGGCAATAAATCAAATTGAATTGGGGAGTGTAAGAATTCTACGTAGAATACAATTAGGCTATTCTTACAATTTCCACAAACAAAATTCCAAAAGATACGTATTAACATTTAACGTATCACAACGAGATAAATGCAGCCACGTGCCGGGCCAGAGAACAGTACTCAGTCCATAAATCCATGACTTCCATTAATTGAGCAAGATTAACCGCAAAAAAAGAAGAAATAAATCGAGTCAGAGAATGGCAAGGGCCATTTTAATTCCTCATTACAGGCACGGGTTATTGGCCATTTATGTAGATATTTCGCGCGGTTAATTCGATGGTAATGCGGCTTTTTTTGTCACGGCACTTTCTATTTGCTAAGCATTCGTGTCAGTACACGACTTACACAAGAAATGTGGCGCTTGTACGAGGTTGCACGTGCACTTGTGTGCTATAACGGAAGCCTCACACCTATGCACGTGTATAAACCCGTGTTGCTGCATGCTTATTTGCAAGGAAGACGAAGAAGGAGGAGCACTGAATTGGAAGAACTCGATATCATAAATCTTTTCGCGCAAAAGGGATCGCAATTATCTTACGCATTAAAAGCATATCACCCGGTATCGATAAGTTTCTCTTCCTGCAGGGTATGCTCGAGTTTCGACAGCCAACGACACAGTGCATCGATAATTACACGTAGTGCATGTTCGAATTTACAAACAGAAATTGCATTTCGATGATCTGAACTGAGAAACGAAATAATTCCATTGCAAATTTTATCTGAAATCATAATAGGATTCATGAAACGTTGGATCTTTTGAATTATTATCTTCATGTAATGATGCTTCATGAGATTTGGTTGTGAGATACATATACTTTTTAATCAAATTTGCAAATTTGATAATCTCATATCTAATAAGCAATTATATCTACAACGGCTACCACTAATAAGAACACTTATTATGGCTATCTAAAGGCATTAACGCGACAGAACGCGACACGTGACTCGACAGGTGGCCGAGGCATTTCATAAAAACCATCATTAACTAATGGCGGATTGAAGACGCAATCGAAGAGGCTTTCATGTTTAGAAGTCGTGCACGTTCCAGCGGTGTTTCATGATGTTTGGCAGTAAACGACATCAATGTGCATCACCATGAAACGGTGTTACACGAGCCAGGCCAACTATGCCGGAATTTCCTAACCTATGTAACGCAAATGTCCCGCGTAAGGTGGCAGAGAATCTCGATGGTTTCACCGGGCAAATGCCCGAAGAGCACCTGCATCTATAAAATTGAACCATGCATTATTCATAGGACCTGCTTAGCTCAGCTGGTGCGCTTTTGCAACGTGTTAAAGAAACGGCTAGCCACGGCCAGGAATGGATAGCCAGATAAATTGATATGAAGTTTATCATGATTGGTAGCCCCGTAAGGGTAAACAGGATCGACTGGAAACTAATAGACACTATTAAAACAGGCTGAAACTAGAGACGAACACGGAACGAACGGTAGAGGAAAACTGTAAATCGGTTGAATATCGAAGACAAGTTATACCCCATAAGGGGTGTATCTCACATCGTGTTTGTGCATACAGTGATCGAAAATGGTGTACTGTGCAGATGTTGATACAATGGCCGTATTGAATACTCCATAAGTATAACGATTAATTTTTTAGCACAACTCTGCTTTAATAGTAGAGCTTACTGGTGTTGGACAGTGATGCGTTACCAATTATTAAAAGCTTAGGTTTTGTGTGAAATGTATAACTATGAAACTAGTGATAAATTCTATAGGGTAATGTGTACCTTTCCATTTCTTTAGAGTAAAAATTTATAAAGTGACCAAAAAATCAATATGGTTTCAAGAGGCATGAGCTATATTGTTGATGAGAGAAAAGACTTTAACGTGCCGACATCTGTGAGCAGATTCAGGCACTCGAACCTCTGTCTTCCTTTGACTGGCAGTAAAGTACGAACCAACATCCTCATCACGAACTGGACCATTTATCGGCGAATGGAGGAGTAGCTTACAAACTCAACCGAAAGATGGTCGCAAAGAAATCAATTATTTGCGTACTAACTCAAAAAAAAACTTAATCCATGCACTCTTATAAACCTTATATCCTTATAAATACAACACTTATATCGATAAATGTGAAGATATTAATAGTTCTTAATTTAATTAGACTTGACGAAGAAACACTACTTGACTTTACGAAGTGCACTGAGTAACTGAAGGCAAGAGTGCTAGGATAAAATGGTAAGGAGAAAACATTTAAGCATCGAAGAAGCCTGGCCCTTCAAGGTTGCGGCTTTTTCCTTAGATTTACCGAAGAAAGAAGCGGTAGGAACGTAAGGAAGAAGGAAATAAGAGCAATCCCAGCAGGGTGCCGAAACCTGTGCTATTACCTAACCCTGGGACAAGATACCTTCGGGTTAAGGGGAGCGGACTATTATCACTTCGTTATTGCCATCATAAATTTCCAACTCGTTACACTGAAATTGCCCCTGTGATTCTTTGCAGTCACGGATGGGTCGAGAAAATTTCAGCAAACCTTCCCTGCGTTACAACCCCATCGTATTTCAAGGAAGCAGGTGGCCCACTGGGTTACCTCTATCTATACATTTCCTAAATATTACATTTGGGATAGTAATAATCAAAGGGAATCGACCCTCACTTAGCAAAGGTGGAAAAAATCTCTTTTCATCTTTGCGAAAAAAGATTTCTCTAAAAAATCATTGGCTGGACACATGAAGGTGAAAACGAGTGAACCAGTTCAACATAATGTCGAGGGAAAACAAGCAGCCATGAGTTATCATGGGAATAAAAGTGGATGAGTGGAGACTCTGCCAAGCCGCGGAGCCAACGCGAACGCGAACGCAGTCAGCTAGCAAGATAACTTTTATGGGGGGGTAAGGGTACGGTACACGGTATACGCGTGGTGAAACTACCGAGCTAAAAGGTCAGAGCAATAAATAACTCGGTACGTCTGGGGTATACCTAGAAACTGGAGACATTATGCCAATCTTGGCTTGCGAACCGTACGAATGTGGTCTAGTTTTACCTACTGTTGCATAAATCTGAAAGCGACCGGCTACCTGCTGTCCTCTCTAGAAACCTTGCTTTCTACGAAACCTCTTGGCCACGCGGGAAAAGCCTTGAGCCTATTTTCGTGAGCCGCTTCACGTATTCTGATTATGCCTTTCTGTGATTCGAGTCCACGATTTTGGAAATTTTTATATTTTTTCTTCTTAAACAAACCCAGAAAGAAGACGCACGAACCTGTCTTGTAAATTTATGGTACACGTTCGTCGGATTGAATTATTTTTCTGAGACATCAAGAAACCTCCGCAAAAGACTGAATTTAGAATCATCATGAATATAATCTTACCGAATTGACTTCTCATCCATGGGTAGAGCGGGCTCGGTAGGTTGGCACTGGCCGCACCTTGAGGAGTGCCCTGTTGTTGCTGACTAAGCGGCGACGTGACCACCCCTTGATGTTGCTGAGCTTGCGGCTGTTGCTGCGGATGTATGCCTGGCTGCGATTGCTGCGACGCCGCTTGCGTCTGTTGTTGCTGTTGATACATCATGTGCTGCTGCTGTGCCTGAAGATGTTGATGCTGTTGCGGTTGCTGTTGGTGCTGGGTTTGCTGTGGCTGCATGTGAGGATGTTGCGAGTGCATCTGATGGTGCATCTGGGGCTCGACGAGAGGCGGGCTGTCCGGTCCATCGAGCACGCTACCCTGATGATCGACCGCGGCCGCTTGAAGCTTGCAACTCGCGTAGACAATAGGAGTGGACGGATGTCCGTTCGGAGTAGGTGTGTGTCCCATGTGGCCCATACCAGGGCTGGGGGACGTCGACCTGTAACCACCCATTCCGTCCATGCTACCGTGCTCTTGTTGATGCTGATAATAGGTCGCGTTTCGCATGTCCATCCGATTGTACGGCGGAAACCTCGGATAAGGCATATCTTGTTGGGTGCCCGCTGCCCCATAATGATGGCCAGGTACTCCTTGACGCAGGAGGCTGGGATCGCATGGGTCCCCGGCTTGCTGAGACTGTTGTTGAACCGACTGCGTTTGCTGGGGCACCTGGACGGCGGCACCGTAGTGCTGCTGATGCTGATGCGGGTGTTCCACCCCGCCATTACGCAGGTCCGGGATGTACGAATTCGCGAAGTACGAACTCATGCTACTTGTCCCACCTGGCCCACCTGCTAATGCCACCCTCGGTCGTTTAGCGTGCTCTCACTCTCTGTATTTGATCTTTGATAGTTCTTCTCCACCTATTTACTTTCCTCTTTCTCTTCCTCCTCCTCCTCCACCTCTTCTTCTTCTTTTTCTCCCTTTGTACCGGGATATAGTATTTGTTTCTTTCTTCACTTTTTATATATTCGCTCGTTTTGTTTTGTACTCTATCTGCGTACGGACACACTTGCACACTGTCCTTACATTTGGATATATTATTTATATTATTTTTACATATATAATATATATATCACCTTCTGTAAATCTTGAATCCCACACTCTCGGACAACACGCGGGCGCGCACACTCTTTATTATCACACCACCATCACCGTATTATCTCACTTGCGTATCGTTGAATTCTATTATTTCTTTTTTCTTGCCCTTTATCTCGGGTTATCACACTGGACTCATCGAAAGAACAGAAAATAAAACTGGAGCACTACAAAACCGTAAGTTATCAAACTGTGGGGTTAGGGTTGAGGGGCGAAGATTGAACTTGTACACGAGGGGGGGAAAGATGGTAATCAGAGTTCTTCGTCTTCTTCGGTGTGGTACCTTCGTTCAAAGCGCCAAGCCGCTCCAGACACGTTCCGTTCCTCTGTCCACCCTGCTACCGAAGTTGTGCCGCACCTGTAACCCAAACACACACAGCTCGTGTTAATTTAACAAGTTTTCAAATCAATGTCGCGATTAATTTTGCGGTACCGTATTTCAGCGCAAGACAAAAAACGAACAGCTCGCACGGAGACAAGTTCCGTTTGCTGATCTTTGTGCGACCAACTGAATGAACCGAGCAGAGTTTGACTCTGAGTGACAGAAGGCGAGGTACACACGTGGCCCGTCACGGTGACGGCCATCACCCAGACGCCGAATTTGCCTTTGGCCTTCTGTGTGGGCGGGCTAAACGATCGTTAAATTTGGAAATATTCCCATCCATTAAGCGGCATGGCTACTGAACGCCTCGTCGAGATTCTACCCAGCCTCCCTTCATTTTTTTTGTTGCATACGCGGTCGACGGCTTCGCGCAACTCGTTAGTACGTAACTAGAACCAGGAGACTTCTTCCTTTTTCGCGTTTCTCACTGAGACCAGTTCCGGGAACGCGTTTTACGAAACATTTACCGTTACAAACGTTGTTCTGTTAATCCCCGAATGACAGACCCGACTCAATTAAAAAACAGTTTCAAGAAATGAGAAAGGAAAATAATGTTTAAATTACATATTGGGTTAAGATACGAAGATTTTCACCCAACGATAGGTTTAAACTTCGCGGGGGGACTTATGGGACCGAAACAGTGACGAACATCTACGATGGGTCCGTCGGTCCCTTATCGGCAGAATCTTATAGAAACATCTTCTCATTAGGCCCGGAAATCTTCTCTACCGACTGTGCATCAGCTTTCCTACTTCGAGATGGCCATCGGTTTTATGCTGTAAGTTCAGGTAGTAGGCACGAGTTTGAGTGCAAATGCCTCGTTCTACTTGGGCCAAATTTGTAAGCCTATTTTTCCGTCACGATCGAAATCCAACTATAGTCACATAAAAGAATAAAAAAATTCGGTTTCAGCCAAAGAGAATAGAATAGAATATACGCGGTATAAAGGTATTGTGAGCAGCACACAGTGGTCGTGTTGGTAATGGTCGAAGAATGGTATGGGATAGGGATGCGGGGGCGGATGTACACAGGGATCCAAAGGGATGGGTAGGGTGGCAGGTTGAAGGGTTTGGGGTGGAGGTGGGGCCCTTGGGAGTTTGCTGTACACGAGAATGGGTCGGACACGGGACGATCGCGATTAACATTCCGGCCGCTAGCTCGCTGTTCGCGCGGCGCTTTCATTAATTCCAGCGTATTGATTCCCCGGATTGATGAATGGCCGCCGATAGCGATTCCATGCGCTCCGCAACTCCCCGTACTCTTCCCTCCAGCCCGCCAGGATCGCGTATAAATTCTACCTCTCGCAGGATTTTAACTCAATTCCCGCTTTACGGACTGCCCTCGCCCCTTACGTATTGTGTGTCCTCGTAACGCAAGTTTCTTTCTATTTATTCGGCCCCCTCGGTTTTCCCAGAGATGAAGATAAAGGCTTACGCCTCGTTTCCATCCGAACGACGCGTAACCCTTCTTCCTTCTTCTCTTTTTTCTCCTTACAAAAACAAGATCCATGCTTTCCATGAGGTGCGATTAAACGCGATCGTTGTTACGCGAGCCGTGTAATAAACCGTTTGAAATGGAAAACGTCACGCCTCGGTATTGTTGGAAACGTTGCATTGTCTTTCCATGAAAATGTTTCTGCCGTTTTATCTGAACGAGGCATTGTTTAATTGCGTAGCGGAAACTCTTCAAAGGGATTTCCGGTAGATAGGGAGCGAGTGCAATAATAGTACGATTGTTTCTCTTGTTGGACTTCTTCGTTTTGATAGATCTAAACATTTCCAAGGACGATTCGAGGTCATTTAGATTTTGTCAGGTGGTGACACCGACTGGAAGAGGCATCAACTAACTAGCCATTTAAAGGTCTAAGGAGTTCATATTATTGCCGATAGATGGCGATGTCGACAGCCAGAAGAAACGGAAAAAACGGGGTGGAGCGTGTCTGACAGCTGGGTGGGTTCGGGGCCAAGGTGATTGAAAACAGGGTGGAGCGTCACGTGACGCCATAGTTGGATATGGAAGTGACGTCAGGCAGCTATGATGGCCTCTAGTTAACAAAATGGCTCCTACCGGGAAGATTCTTTGTCTCCTCGTGTAGCGGGTCCTAGGTCATCGTTACTGTGACTTAAAGGGACATTTGTTTGCTTCACAATCTACAGATTCCATTTACCCAATTGATTCTCTCGGATCAATTGTATAAATAGTACATTTCAATTTAACCTGCAATGTCCCACTTCACATTATCAGTGTTATACCTTTTAATCCTGTTTCTTGTTAGAATTTAAAGCATCTAACATAATTCAGACTGTCGTGGGAGTCAGCGCGTTAAAATTCCTACAAGTTCTATGATATGGTTACCGAAAGGTTAAGACGAAGCAAACCACTCAACCTAACCTATACCACAACGTTCAACGACCCATAAATACACCATTAAAAGAACATAAACACCTGTTCAGCGATTTTCAAGTGGAATACATTAGCTGCAACACGTTCCATGGCCATTTCACTTTCTATGCGATAACCTAATGAACGCTAGTCAAGTGACAAGTGATCAAGGCTTCACGTTCGCTATCTCGAAAGCACTGACGATGGTCCGACTATGCGAATGGCACGATAGGATGAAATAAATGACACGTTATCGTGGACAGCTGGTCAACTGAAGATTGCCGGCCAATAAATGCTGGCAGGATTTGACAGTTATGGGACTCGTAGCTCGTGCCGGTCGTTCGCACGCCGTAAAACAGTCGTAAACTAAAGGAACTCGTAAAACTGGGACCCTTGAATGAGCCACCTACGTGCCGGGGATCCCGGTTGAGGAAAAAAGGAACAGAAAATTGTGACCTTGAACAAAATTCCTGTTCTCTGTTCCTGTGGATTTGGTCATATTGCCAGCACATTATCCGAAAATTAAAGAAAGAGATTCAGATAGAGTGTTCAATCTCGGTTTACACTCAACGACAAACCGCGTCAAAGTCGATAAATATTTATATCGATCCCCTCGAACAAATTGCCATCGTGTTAATATAATTAGAGTCCCTGTGGCCGCTAATTGCACGCCATTAATTCACAATACTCGTTACTAATAAATGATGAGACGAGTCAGTGATGTTAGTGACACGGGTGCAGTTACTTTCAAGAGAGTAATGGAGACGAGGTAATGAATTCAATGATTGATTGCATTCCAAAAAGGAAATTATCCACCATGGGAAGAAAGATAAAAAGAAACGAACTCAAGAGGAGTAACGGAGTTCAACGAGTAGGGAAATCGAGAAGGAATACCGTTACGCACGGTAGAAGGTGTCCAGCTGGTGGAAGGTCGAGTGGGCATTAAAGGGTGGCCGCGATCAAGGTTTCGAGCGGGCTGCTCGAAAAGGATCGCGGTCCAGCGGTGCTGTGTGTTGTGCGTCCCGGTGGTCGAGGAGGTGCACACTAGCACGCGGTCGGATCGGTGAACGGAGAACCGACACGCCAGCGGATCAGCCAAATGCTAACATGCATATGCGATTAGCATAATCGAGTCGGCCTGCAGGAAACCAGTTTGCAAGGCCGCTCAAAAGCCGGCCGCCCAATAGCTTATGCCGCTCTCCGCGGACCGGCACGCACGCCGCATCCGTAATTCCATTTCCCCCTACCGAGTACGCGTCGCCTCGTCTCGCATCAGCTGACTGCGAGAACAAACCAGACGGACCGGACTCTACCTTTTCCGGCTCCTCTCGCGGCCGATTGCGAGATCCACAGAACCGATGAGACGGGAGGAATCTCGCGTAACCGATGAGACCAGACAATTGCCCACTACAATTTATTTTAAACTTTTGCAATATGCTTATTTCGTATAATGATATCATTTTAATGTAATCACTTCAAAATAAATTCCTATATTTCAGATCACTAAATCTCTGGTACCATTTCTTTAAAAAGGGGCAAGAATCATACCGCCCTTGATCATTTTATAGTCAGAGAAAAGTCGTCGCCACGAACAGTGGTGGCATCGCCACGGCATATTTAATAAACAGAGAAGATACAGAGGCGTGTATGGACCTCCGGGACCGCAGTGTTTCTGGTTAAAAGGGAAGCCAAGGGGGATGAAGAGGGTCGAAACAGTCAGCCATGAACGTCGCAGATAAATCCCACCAACGTTCTGCTAGCCGACGATACGCATTACACCCTCGTCCCCTGTCTTTTTTTCTACCCTCTGCAACGCTTTTTTTCCCCGTTCATTTTCAACTTACTTTGGCCATGGCGTCAGTTACCAGCTCTCCTGTGGTTTTTTTCTCTCCTCACACCCTGCTTTTTCGATTCTCTATTCGAGATTATCAACGGTCGTATTTTTCAACGAGCTGTTCCATGCACCAAAAAGCTTGTTTTTGTTTTCCACTTCCCAATCAAAAGTGCTTTCGATAACGCTTTTTTCCTGCTGGATATAGTCGTTTCATTGAAACCTTCGTTATCTGTTGGACTTTTTTTCGTAGGTTTTCGACACTGTTAAGGCTCATTCTTTTCATCGTTTCACCTCGGCATGAGCTGTTCGATAATTCCTCGCTTTCGATGCGATAGAATGCTATTTAGCGATTCTAATTTCTAATTCATGAATTACTCACTGTTGTCAATCTTGAGGAAAAAACACTAGTAAAATTGTACACACCTACTTCCTATCGACAAGTTTCGCATTTCATGGAACATTTGGAATAAATGTAGATAGCTTATCACAGTTTCGTGACACCTGACGTATGACATCTCGTTAAGCAGACTCGGCTCGATGAAATCTTTTAATACATCAACTCTGGCCGTCAACGAACTGAAATTATCGCGAGCATGGACTGATACGATGAATTATGCGTCTCCTACTAGCAGTCGCTTTAATTTATTCGACGTTCCAAAATGACGATGCCTTTATTGAGTGATAAATACTGGACGGAGTGTGTGTAATTCTCTGGGAACCATCTCGATGAAATTTGTTTAATTAAAAAGGCTGCCGATTG